GTATTAGTGTTTTTCACATAATATTGAATACTAAACACCCCCTTAAAGTTTGTACAGTGCGTGCCCTAACACACTGTATATTTCATGTCAGGTGTGTTAATGTGAAGTAAGAGAGTCAATAAAAGATTGTTTGGACTATACAAGAGTTTCTATTCCACAGTGCGAAGTCCCCAATCAGGATCGAGAAAAGTGTGTTGAAAAGTTGCCCGGAAGAACTTACGAAAAATAGTGACACATAGAGCGAGAAATAAAAATAAACTAGCTATAATTATTAATACAAAGATCGAACACTCAGAAAAAATTCCTTCGCTCCGGCCGGACCGACGTCTTCTAGCATAGTGTGCCAGATGCTATACCAACTAAGTCACGGAACGAACCAGCGGACCTCACGAATTTTTCTGTGTTTTGTTGTCGACTTTTTAGCCGTAGCGCCATCTGTGAGAAATCTTAAGTATATCGTCACCCAGTTAGATACCTTTTCAGCTACCAGCCCTGGCTAGAGATGTCGCTATTCATTGTATTTAAATTTTTATTGAATTGATATTCATAATTTTTTTATTTGAAATTACTCCACTAGTTTGTTATAATTATTAATATAAAGATACATTTAGAAAAAATTCCTTCGATCCGGATTCAAACCGACGTCTTCTAGCATACCGTGCCAGACGCTATACCAACTAAGCCACGGAACCTCACGAAGATCTTTGTATTAATAATTATAACAAACTAGTGGAGTAATTTCACATAAAAAATAATTGAATATCAATTCAATAAAAATTTAATAAAACTAGTTGTTCTTGACAGTCGACTTCATAAAATCTAAAATTAATTTAAGAGGCAATGTATATTCTATAATAAGATTCTGACTGATATTCAAAATTTGCCGTTTAAAACTATTGTGAAACCAAATTTTTTTACTAAAGGTTTTTTTACACAGATTCCGTGTACTTGTTGGATGACAAAAATCCGTGGTAGTGACCCGTTTAATCCTTGCGTTAGGTAGTTTCGATCTTAAATGTTTAAATTAAATATTGTAATGATAAATGTATGTACAAAGAGCAACCCCTAGAGTTTCTTGCTCATTCTTCTCAGCGGGATCTGCCTTACTAATGAGCAGTAGAGTTTAATCAGTATGACGATTACAAGTGTAATTTGCTTACCTACGAAATAAACATTTGACTTTGAAACTTACCAATCTTATACTTGTGCGTGGGCGTCGGTTCGTCGTCGTCGTCATCATCGGAGTGAGTGGGGAGCGGCGTGTCCCCCCGCGAGATGAAGATGTTGCCCGGCTTCACGTCCATGTGGACCAGGTGCAGGGAGTGAATGTAACTATGGGAGGATGCAAGCTGGTTAAATTTTTTGTTATTGTCATAAAATGACGGGATGAACAAGTGCGCCTGCTGGTAAGCGACTTTGAAACGTAAAGATCTGAGGGGCATTGACACTGCGCCTGTCACCTTAAAACATATATATAGTTGACATGTACCATATGCCTGCAGTTTCACCAGCACCTTTACTCTTCAAAACCGAAATGCAGTAATGTTAGTGTAATTACTGCTTGGCGGTAGAAATAGGTAAAGTGGTAAAAGTTACAAAGAGCTCTACTGCTATTAAAAAATAGGTTGTTGGAGAAAAGTGTGACCATAATAATTCAGCTAGGAATTTGAAATGAGCAAGTAAATTTCTGAATCCATAGCATTGACTTAGAAATAAATGGACGACGGGTCTAATATAAAAACCACGAAAAAAATGTCTCAAGTCAACCTATTTAAACATAGTGACATGTAAAGGAATATGAAAAAGCTAAAACGTTGAATTTAAATTGTAATGTCATCGCGGTACTGTCTAATTTTGCTTGCTTCGCTGTCAGTCGAACAAACGAAGACTAAAGCGTGAATGACGCTCTGTAATTCGATTTTAACGCCCTATAAGTTCGGACACTTTTTAGCGCGGACCCGACGTCCATATAATTGTAAGTCAATGATCCATAGCATAATTATTTCTGTATGCTGGTGATTATATTATTGTCTATGATTATTATTGTCTATGAATTGTCCATACTTTCTGTCAAAAAATCGAATGTTCTCGAATACAATCGTCTATTTTTCCCAGCATTTGTTTCTTATATAAAAATTTATTAATATATAATATACGAAAAATAATTGATAAATGTGTCCGATAATAACATCAATTCGCTAGACTCAATATAGGGTGATTTCCCTATCCACTTGCACTAAACTTAGATACGTCTTAAACTAAGGCTTAAATGCACTCTTAACGCAATATGTTATCATTATCTTATCATTCGTTGAAACTTAGGGCAAATGGACATTAATGTCCATAGTGTATCGAAATTAACCCCGCGGATTAGCTAGAATACCAGAACGTGTTTTCTAAAACACTTGTTGTCCTACCGGAAATCGACCCCCTAATGAAGCTTTCATAGTGCCAACGAGATCGTCAAAATGTTTAAATTTAGAAAAAAGAAACGTACAATGTAGAGTAACATTAGCCCCGGTAACATTAGCACTCAATGGAAAAAAAAAACCTATTTAACAAAAGGTATGCGCAGAAAATATACCAATAAAAGGTATCATAAAAGTCTACAATAAAAAAATATACCATTAAAATGTATCACGAAAATATCTACCAATAAAAGGGATCACAAAAAATCTATCAATAAAAGGTAACGCAAAAAAATCTACCAATAAAAGATAATTAAAAAAATCTACCATAAAAAGGTATCACAAAAAAATCTACCAATAATGGGGCACAAAATTTGTGCCCCATTATTAAACACGTTTAAATTAATACATTAACCGACTGGAGCACAAAAGTCAAATTCATTTATTGCTTCATTAATCTGTAACTTAAATTCTAGTGGCGTCTTTATCTAATTTATCATTCTCTTCACATCATCCAACAATATAAACAACACAAAAAATATAGAATTATATACAAAAAAAATTAATTTTTCGACTTATGTGTTTTAGTCCGCCGACCCTAGAAATATTCTCATGTAACCATCGTCAATGCATGTAACTAAAAAGTTATGGCCACTTAAGTGTTTCGTAAAGGCCTGAGATATTGTTATCAATGTACCTAACATCTGTTAATTAACTGCAGTCCCGCAACCACTGCCTACACCTAAATAATGGACTTGACTGTGTAAGTAAAGCGAACTTACGCTAGTCCATCAGAGATATGTGCCAGTAGTATTAAAAGTTCACTCTCGGGCAGGGGTCCTTTTTCGATGACCTGCTGCAGCGAGCCGCCTTCGCAGTACTCGTTCTGGATGATCATGTGGTCATCTTCCGCCCACGCCGAATAGTACCTGGAAATTAATTCCATTTGTTAAATTTATGTGATGTATTATAGTTCAGCATTTTGATCCAATCCTTACAATTTGTAGATAGGCCAGGGAAATCTTCACATGCTCAACGCCAGTCTATCTCGTAAAGACTATGGCCGATAGTCTGACCCGCTTAATGGATGTTTGCGTACAAGAACCACATTACTTTTAAATTATGCAGTTATAAACCACTTTTTATTTTATGTCAAGAAAAATATTAAAAATCTACGGGGTTAACACGTAAGGGTGACACTTCTTATTTTCCTTCCTTACCTGACAACATGTGGATGTTTTCCCAGCGCCGCGTGCGCATAGACCTCGGTCAAAGCTGCTCTCTCCGCCACCGACCCAGCCACAGGCTTCAGCGAGCGCTTCAGCGCGTACACGCACCCGTCAAGCTTGTTTACACATTTCGCCACCCGACCAAACTCACCCCTACCGATTACCCCGAGTTCGATGAACTCGACGTTGTAGCGAGATATGTTCGATTCCTGGAAATAGTAATGTATATTCGATACCTCCAATGGACACTACGCTAACTTTATTGTTGGGTCAGTTTTGTGAAAAAAAAGTAACAAAAAACAAAATCCAAAAAAACTACAAATAAAATTAATTTTAAATTTGTATTTTTTGTGTAATTACTCCACTAGATTGCTATAATTATTAATACAAAGGTGGAACACTTAGAAAAAAATTCTGCACACGACTGTACTCACTAACAGGTGGAGCAAGAGGACTTGTAAGTACCCCATGCTTCACCCAGGTGCAGCACAAGGTCCGCAGCCATTCCGTCGACTCGGCCGGGTTCGAACCGACGTCTTCTAGCAAGACGCTATTATTATTGGCATTTTTAGTCATTTTTAGCTTAGTTGGCATAGCGTCTGGTCCAAAGATTAAGTTGGCATAGAGTTCATTGAAGGTATCGATTTGTAACTCCCTTTTAAATAATAATTATGTACCCGCCAACCTAGTGTCAAACTGGAGAGATCCTTGTATAACGACTACTAGTAGTAACTGTACAGACCCATATGAAAGAGTTTTACATAATTGAATAAAATATGTGTTTATTTTATTTATTTATTTATTTTATTTTATTTATTTATTTTAAACACTAAGAATATTACAAAAATATATATACATCACACCCTTAAACCTACATTGGTTTGTCCGGGTGCTGCACGTTCTCCTTAATTACATCTTAATATTACATTCTTATATTTAATAAGCTAACAAAAGATTACAAATCTCAATTAGAAATTACATGTTTTTATTATTATTTATCATTATCTACCTAGATAGGTACAAGTAGTTGGAAAAACAAAACGCTACCGCTAGCAATGTCGCGGTTTGTGTATCCGAAAACGATAAACCGCTTCGAAGAGTATTCAAATTACCAACTGTTTGCTGTGGTTTTTTCTTTGTTATTTGACTTTTTTTACGTATTAATTTTTAGTCAAAAATTAAAGAGACAAAATGAAGAATCAGCAAAGATAAATTATCAGATAATAATGAGATAATTATCAGGTCAATTTTGTTATGATAATTATTAAATTAAATAATTATCGTGTTAATTTGGGTTACCTATCAGTAGACCGAAATGACATTTTCCAGAAATAACGGTTGCTCGAATTTTCATAATCTCAAAAGTAATTTTGAGAGGAAAGTGTTCTTTCTTTAAAACCTAAGTTAACCTAACCTGATCGTGACTTTGCGATAAACATCCAACATATCCTGAAAGAACAACGGTTTCGTTATAATTCGGTTTTCGGTGTAATGAAAATTCGAACAAACGTTTTTTCGGTTTGTGATAGGTTACCGTAATTTGTTATCCTGAAATAGTAATATCGAGTGTGTGATTTTTATAAAGCTTACCCGAAGTCTCTTGGCAGGCTGGTCTGGTGAGGAATCCCATCCTGGCGTTTTGGATAATGCTCTTTTCTTCTTATTCAATGCTTGACCTGTCGAAAAGTATCTCAGTCAGCAACAACGAATGTAAATAATCTTTATCTACACACATATCATAAACTCTCTATAATGTGTTCAAAAACGCAAATTACGACTACTTTATAGGTAAACTGTTTTGTTAGAACAAATTGCTTCATAATAAATCGAATTTCAAATTTCGAACATCTCTGAAATACATAACAATTTGATTGGACCTCAATTCTAATATCAGTCGAGATGAAGTTTTATTCGAAATGAAATGACAATAGCAAACAATTTAGACAATTTCACACGTTACTTGATATTGAACGATATGATAGCTGGGGCCGATTCTAGTTTGTCTAAGAATTAAAAATAAAAACTACGGTTGTGTGACATGCGTGAGAAAAGATTTTATTTGCCGCCATTTCGCCAGTCGTAACATGCGGTTCCTGAACACATCACAGAGAGCTTATAATATGTGTGTAGATAAAGCAGTGTATGTAACTAACTGTACATAATTAGGCAATAAAACACTCATGAGATGTTTTTATGAAACACGCATGTCATATTTCATAAACCCACATTCGTATTGTAATGCCTTTCATTATGTAACAGTCCCATAAACTACTATTGTAACAAAGATCGAATCGATCGATTAATTTGATCTGGCTGGATACGAACCAGCACCATCAGGCAATTCGTGCCAGATGCTCTGCAAATTAAGCCATGGAACGAACCAGCAGACCTTATGATATTTTTCTATGTCTTTGTTGCAGATCTTTGATCAGTTTTTGGTCTTAACGACTTTTTATTCCGTAGCGCCATCTGTGAGAAATTGATTTCTTCACTCAGAGAGCTAACTTTACAGCTACCATCGCTGACTAGAGATGTCGCTTTAAATAATAATTACAACAAACTAGTGGAGTAATTTTACAAAAAAATTTCATATAATAGTTACTACTATCAAACATCATTACACAATCACAGGCAACTCACCGTCAGGTGTGAACGGATTGATGTTAGCTACTGGACGAGTGCGCGAGTCGTCCGAGTCCTCCGTCAACCCCAAAGCACTGTCGTCTTCCATCGGAGGCTTTGGCGGATGGAGATGGTGACTAGAACCAGATGGCATGCCTGGAAAGAATGTTGCATATAAATCAGTGTGACATACAACCCTTATTACACATCACTAACAGACGTTGTCAAGTTCACATAAGAAATAAAGTGATTTCACTGCTTCTGTGGCCGAACGGTTACATGACTGGACTGCCACGCAGAGGTCCCGGGTTCAACCCAAACTCACGAGAGAATAAAACGTAGGCCATACAAATATTTCTCCCCTCCCGGGAACCGAATCTGGGACCTCTGCGTGGTAGTCCGCGGTAGGCATGGTAACCGTTCGACCACCGCGGCAGTTAACAGATTGACTGCATGTATTTATTTATGTTCAGGTTACAAAAAAATCCAAAAATGCGTACCCTACAAACTAAAACCAATAACATATTTATTTATTTACACGTATTCGACGTGTGACGCAACGTGGGTGGCCGAAACGCCGGAACATGACATCCTTTGGCCAAAAGTTCTCCTTCATAAAGGTCGACAGATGTTAAATTAATACGTGAAGTCGTTATCAGAGATCTCAACTGCACGATGTTGATAACGAGTTCACGAATTAACTGCATGCAGTCGAAACCGACTTCACGCAGTCGAGATCGACTTCACGCATTAACTGCATGTTTGCAGTCAATCTGTTAGCAACATAACTGTGGTGAGTTCTTAGAGGAATCTGTCCATCGAGTATATAACCAGAAGTAGAGACGAAATGTCATTTAATTTGTTTGGAAACTATTTTGCCGAATCATTACGGTGAAAACTGCGCTCCGATTGGCCAGCCCGAATTCGAAATAATTGGTGGTTGTCGTCAATTGTTTCACTTCCAAATGACCAGCTTTGCAATAATGGACAAAAATTGAAAAATTACATATTTAATATTTAATTACGGATGTAATGTAATTCCGTGTTTTGCAATTAGATGTTTTGCTGTTTTTCCCACACCACCGAATGGAACAGCCCCCCATTATTAGAGATATTTTCTTTATTACAATAAATACAGAACATTTTTGGAATATACATATGTATGGAGACACAGGTCAGTTGTTGGCGCTGTACTATTTCAGCTTTCTAATTTATGATTTCAGCGCAAACGAGAGTTGATATTTAAAAGTGATATAAGGTCCATTTGCCAGATGAGTTGCTAGGGATGGATTTTCATATCTCTATTTCTGGTTATATACTCGATGAATCTGTCTTATGAATGTGACTATATTTTGACTATGTCAAGTGTAATTTGCATGGTAAAATCTGTATTTACCTGTAGGAGCGTTAAGTTTGGGCGGAAAGAGTCTGGATCTGGCTTGAGGATGAGATGGCGTCGAACATTTCTCCAGAAGCGTCTTCGGCGTATGAGGACTGTCAAACAGCCTGGAAAAAACATCAATAATAAATACATTTTACTGATTCAAATTGGTAATTAAGAGAAATCTTGCATCTGTTCTGAAGGTCGGAGTTCAATACACAAATGCATATAACCTTAAGTAGCAACAGACTTAAATACTTCTTAACCTATTATAGTGTGATAGATTTGAATCAGAGGTCATGAAACAAATATATTTATATATTTGACCTCAAAAGTGAGTGGAAACACATTTGCTTGACAAGTTTTATTGAAATCGGTTACCGGAAAGTGCGCGAAACCGGATTAATAAGGGTTTGCCACCCATAGAGGTGGAATATTTTCTTCAAAATGAAATGGGCCCAATACTGAGGTACCTTCTTTCCAACAACAAAAGAATCATCGAAATCGGTTCACAGATAATGCCGGAATAATCGAGTAACATAAAAAAAACAGTCGAATTGCGAACGTTTTCTTTTGAAGTCGGTTAAAAAATGTTTGTATTTTTATGCAGTGCAACTTAGAGCTTTATATTGGCTTAGACCTGAGGAACCTGCCACTGGATCCATCACCCTGAGACATGAAGTTGATTAATTCCTAGTATGGATTTCAGTCGCTTAAAAAGATATTCTAATACAACAGAGAAAGAGAAAATAAAATAAAAATACAAAAAGCCCTGATAGCGTGAGCTACCGCCTCTCAAGCAGAGGCCGTGGATTCAAATCCGGGCACGTCTCTCGGAATTTATGTGCGAAATTTGATTAAAAAATTTACCATGAGCTTAGTCAAAGAAGGTTCACACCCTCGGAAAAGGTGTTAAGTCCCCAACTCGCAAAGGGGCAGGGCGCACGGCGGACTATGGACTAAGCCTTTGCCCGGGCAGTGAGACGTATAAACGGGTTCATGGTATGATGATCAAAAAAGCCTGGTCTAGTGTGAGACCAGATGTTATTTATTATTACGACGACATTGCTATACGTGTACGACTTCATTATTCCACAAAATCTGCGGATATTTTGGAGTACATATTGGTGAAAGCCAATGCTGCCCTGAGGGTCAAGCAGTTGGAGTCCCGCCACAATGTTATGTAACGTATGTTAGTCTATAAGGTATGTATTTATGGGCCTTTTGTAACCTGAACATAGATAAATAAAAAAGTTTAGGTAGCAGTAGAGCTTCTTAGGAAAGAGTTCGTCCAGGGAAGTACTGCCACCTTTTCTATGTCTACCGCCAAGCAGTAATGTCAGCATTATTGTGTTCCGGTGTTGTAGGGACTTGTCAACTTATGTCTCTGGGTGACGGGCGCAGCGGCAGTGCCTCTCGCATTTTTGGGACTTAAAGCTCTGAGTGGCACTGCAACTGTAATGGACAGACGTGTAGCTTACCATCAGGCGCACGATTTGTTCGTCCCGTCACTTATAAAAAAAAATAATAAGAAATACAAAATTAAAGACGTATTTGAGTTTGGGTAACCAAAGTGCCAGAAGTCTTACATTTCAATTAAATACACATAAATGCGTTTACAATTGAAACGACGCCAAATGTTGAGCAAAATTTGTAATAAAAAAATTCTACAACATAGTTCAATAAATCTTAACAAATAAAGGTGATTACAAATTCTATCATGTTGCACCTTTTCTCAGGTAGAGCCACATTTTTTTTATGTAGTGAGTAGGTGTATTTTTTTCCAAAGGTGTTTTTTGTGTAGCAGCTGCCAGCTGTTTTTGGTCATGTGTTTGTCAATGTCATTGTGTAAGAATAACTGTAGTTTAACTGATTTTAACTGAAATGTTTTATTTAGGTTCAACATGGTACCAACATGTGAGAAGACCCCAGACTATATTGGAAATGCTGTGATAAATTTGACCTGGGTCTAGGAAACAAGAGGCCGAAATGTGAATCTTTTGTTTATGATACCAACTGGCGGAACTAAAAAGTCGTGCGCCTGGTGGTAAGCGACACGCCTGTCCACGACAGTTGCAGTGCTACTTCGAGCGCTAAATCGCAAAGATTTGAGGGGCACTGCCATTGCGCCCGTCACCATGAGACATAAGTTGGCAAGTCACGGGTGCCTGTAATTTCACTAGCACCTTTACCCTGCAAAACCAAAACGCAGTAATGCTCAAATTATTGCTTGGCGGCAGTACTTCCTGAGACGAACTCTTTTACAAGGAGCTCCGTTGCTACGAAAGAGTTTCTCCCCCTTGTCTAAAAATTGTCTATTATATTTTGGTACAGTCAAGAGCATGTCAAGCTTGACAGTTTGGACTTTAGACCGTTCTTATCATAAGCGGCATAGAGTTGGATTTAAATCTTAAGTGTCAAGCTTCCTTGCTCTTGACCCTGTACAATTATAAGTGTGACGCTTGTGAGGAAAAATAAACATGTTACACTGTTGAACACAGGGACCTCTCTAAGAAATAAATGATTCTACCAGTGGTTAGGTCGACAGGTAGAAGGCATTGTCAAAGTCGATGGGACTAGTGCATGAGGACCTATATCAGCAGTGGGTGACGTCAGGTTGTCAATAGTGATAGGGTGGTTTTTTAACTAGGAAATACTTGACTACGTTAATAGTGCACTCAGCACAAAGTTTTGTAATTGAAAGTAAAAATATAATAATTATTAACCTACTTCGAAAAGGAGGAAGTTGTCAATTTAAATGTATTTTTTTTTGTTTATATTACGCAATTACTTCAGTATTTGTGAACCAATTTTGATGATTCTTTTTTGTTGGAACGATGGTACCTCAGCATTGGTCCCATTTAAATGTGAAGAATATAAGGTGGAACCTCTAAGGGTGAGAAAGCAGGGGATGAAACCGGTTTCGCGCAGTTTCCGGTAACTAATTTCAATAAAACCTGGCAAATAGATGTAATTACACGAACTTTTAAGGTTATTTTTTTTTTATTTCTGTTTTATATCGAGTTCTTAGGTTTTCGCGATTGTTACATATAGGAAATGAAACTATTTTTCTGGATTTAAATCAGGCTCTTTACAGGTCCCATGGTCACAGTTGTCAACTGTCAAATTTAAATCCATAAAAATAGTTTAATTTCTGTTTTTATAATTTTTTGGTTTTCTGTTTTAATCATTCGAGGGTTTCTGAGGGAGATAGCATCCACTCAATGTATGTATATCAGTTGAACTTTAACTACCAAAACTTACTCTGCTTATTTGTGTTCAAATCGAAACGTTAATTTTTGTAAAAGAATTACATCCAAATCACGTAAGAGTTATTTTTCAACAACAAAAGATCACAAAAGTTAGTTACAATATTAAAAATAACAATAACTAGTTAAACCAGTAGTTGACCGGAGCCACAGAATGGGTCAGTTGTGAATCATAATGGGATCGGACTTGTTGGGACATGTTTAAATTTGTTGTGGACAAGAATGTTTAGTGTTTTAGGACAAGTTGGTGCTTGTTTTTAGACTTTGAAGATGACGAATATGCTTTAGGCCTTTTTATCAATTTTACTACAGGGATAATTTCGATTGAAGCTTCATTACACAAACCTCTAACAAAGATTATTTTTATTTGATAGCAGCTTCATTTACAACATCATTGTTGAAGAGCAGAACTTGTGCTAGTATTCCAACCTACTACACTCCATGTATGTTCAAGACATAAACCAGAAAACGTTATGGGTAATTAACGCATGGTAAAGATAAAGACTGTGCTACTGCCTTTTTCAGTCCAACATCTGTCTGAAACACTAACTGTCAAATAAGTAATTTTTAACTAAGTCAAAAGACAATGTCAAGTGTGAAGCTTCATTCGTGTCATATGTTTTTCAATTTAGTTGAGTATTCATTATTTGACAGTATAATTGTTTCGGATGGATGTCGGATGGGGAACAGGAGTAGTGATTGGACTGAACAAAAGGGGGCACTATTGAAACGGGACTTAGGGAATTTTAATAATTAAAAAATATATATTATTTCTTTTTAATGCTTGTTTCAAGTAGAATAGATGAAAATAAACATTTTTTTATTCTTATAATTTTTCATATATGGCCGATAATTATCAGGAAAAAGAAAATTGGCAGGAAAAATTTTTATTTACTAGGAGCTCTGCACTTAAACGTATTTTTTTAATCTCGTTTCAATAGTGCCCCCTATATTAGTATGACCGAGTAGATCCCCCGTTCAATTCCCAATTGGTCATAAGCAAGATTTAATGCAGTAATTTTAAATAAAAATAAAACTTAAATTTAGAACACAACAGGAGAGTAATGCTATACAAATTGACTCATCCCTAGAACAAAGATCTATGTGCAAGAGTACTTGTTTTCAGGACATACCACATTTCGTTACTTCTTCGCTGTGGATGTCAGATCAACCGATGTTCAATTTTATATTTCCGAAACGAAATAAGATATATAAATTCTCAAAACATCTTTACATAGGTCTTAGGGTCGTATTCTAGAACTTTACAATTCAGGACTTGAGTATGATGCAAAGCACCAGACATCACACTCAAGTCCTTGCCATTGGGGTCGTATTTCCAGTGCTTGAAATCATACTCAAGTCTGCTTAAATCCTGACTTGACCATTGAGTAGAGTTCTGGAATACGACCCTTAGTTTGAATAACAAAATTATTCTCGAAATGTACTTATTCTCTTTTTGCTAATAATCACATCAGACTTTCTCTCTCTTTCAAAATCTGTGTTGATTCATGAAAAAGAGTTTACAAAAGAACTAAAGCATACTTAATACGCACAGACAACGAACCATATGAAGGTTCATGTTGTCATGTGTTAATTCTGACCAATAAAAAGCTTGGTGTTTTATTCACATTAAAATTTAGCACTTTTTAAATGCAGTTGTGTTATAAAGACAAATAAGTACTGTTTTGCTTTGAGCCACTATTATTGAAAAGCAGCGAATCTATAAAAAATTTAAAAAGAGAACCATAATGGTACTTATTGGCAGGAATGTATTTGTGTGTGTGACTACGTGTGTTGAAGCACACATAGTATAAGATATTTCTACACTAATTTAATAGAATATTATGTATAGTTGATAATTACAAAACTAATAAATATTGTCAGAGTGATAATTTTCATCAAAATGTACACTCCAATACACAACCACGATAGTACAACTTTCACTTCAATGTGAAATTGAATACTTTTATTATTATTATTACATTCATAAACAACTTTCCAGAGACATTACCTTTAATTCCCAAACAGATTAAGATTTCCAATGGAAACACAGTGCTTTCTATAACTTAGCATATGTTACGGTATTTATAATGTTAAGAGACGCGTTTGGAATATAAATTGAAGAGTTTCTAGAATCACTAAATGCAGAGGTTGACTAGGAAATAATCCGACTTACCGCAGAGCACGAACTCGCTTGTAAGGTGGACTGATGGAAACTGGAGCCGTGCAAGCGTCTTTCATCTCATCCTCGTCGTCGAAACCACTAAAATCTAACTTCCGAGGGACAATTGACGCCGGTATAGGGCTTAAATTGTCCGAAAATATGTTGAATGAATCCGACATATCACAGGACGTTTCCACTGACAATTCCGAAGAATTTGTATTATGTTTATAACCATTTTTCATTCTATAGCACTCCGTCATGTTTATTATCACTTTTTATACACTATTTTAACACAGTAAACCTAAAATTTAACGTATATATCACTCACTTTTCACTTTACGCGTACTTTCACAAATTTACAACGATAATGGCGGATGACGCATAGCACCTGTTTACAGGTTCGACCAATCGCAACGCGTTATTTGACCGGTGAATTAAATACTGGAATTGTATTGGCTGACGTTAATTTTTTTAAATAACGATGTTGCAAAAACAGCGTTCATTGGCTGGCTTACAGATACGTTCAATTTTCATTGTCATCGTTTTGATTTATAAATCAAAACGATGTTTTATCTAAATAATTTAAACATATTTTTTTCCACAAATAATATTGGCAACATTGGCAATGAAATTATTTAACCCGCATTTCAAATTGTAAGTATTTCTTTTTTCAAACGAAGCAAACGAACATTTCGGACTCTTCACCTTATAAGAAACTGATACAAGTAATATTACAGACAAATGAATATTTAAAGAATAATTTATATCCAATCTTATTTCTGATTTTATACAGACCATTATAATAACAGACAAAATAATAAATAAATATTGGCAAATTATTAAGTTGTAGTATATGAGCTTAAAATCCGAAATGAACGCATTCATTCATTATTTTCATTCGTCGTTGGATTGGATACATTATTTTTACGCTTTGGTGCACGGTCACCTGAAATAAAAGTAATCACGCTTCAAAAAGATATCTGACAATTAATTTAAGTTTTCATCATTATTGACATCGGTACAAAGACGGCGGTGTCCTATTATCCAATATTTATTTACAAATGTGTGGACGAAATTAATGTATCATGAATGAATGTATCATGCACATCTTTCACTTTTCTGATCCTTACATTAAAAATTGTATCCTTTCTTATCCCAGAACTGCTTTTTCCAGATCTTTTTTTCGATTTTGCCCTTTTAGTGTTTTGCAGTTGCAAATTGATAACAACATTAACCGCGATTTTCGTAAATATTTATTATAGAAAAAAATGTTAATTTTGCTTGTTCTATTATGTACTATATTACTATTGTTTTATTATTACTTTTTATATCTATTATCTCTAAAATTCTCTTACATTTCCATTGAAGAATTACTTGAATCCAAGATCATGAAATAAAAAAAAAACAAAAAGTGCCAACACACCACACTTCCAAGGTAACCACAAAAGAAAAAAATGTAAGAGAAAGTGTGCGTGCCAGTCCCTGTGAGCGAAATTTAAAACTGTTCGTGAGCATGAGCAATGGAGGAAATTAATTGAAGGTATAAACAATTAATTTATGTCGCTATCATAATAGTATTGACTCGTACTTTGTACGGAAATATGTTTCTACATCCATTTTGTATTTTTGTAGGTTAGAAAATTAATTGATAGATCTCAAAAAACCGCTTTAAAAGAGTTCACAGTGCTGTAGATAGTTAAATTGAATCTTATAAACATTAACTATCAACAAAATAGCGTTTGAAAGAAGAAAAAAATAATAATTACGCATTACACGCACTTGATCTGGGTGGATGTTTTAAAAATAGAATAGAAGTCAATTTGCGAAACTAAAAGCGCCTTCAAATTAGATGCGCGCTGCAGTGGTACCACTTTGGCGCTGCAGCCGCGTCACTACCACAAATTAGAAAGATACTTATTTTCATACAAGCGCTATTGCATCGCCACTGTCGCGACACGTGCGCGCCACTTTAACCGACTTAAAAAAAGGAGGTTCTCATTTCGATTGTATTTTTTGCAGTCACTATTATTGAACTAGAGAGAATAGGCATTATTTAGGTATGCGTTTCCCATCGTCGACCTCATCGTCACTTTCCATCAGGTGAGTTGGAGGTCAAATACGCACTTACATTTTTATAAAAAAAAAATAAAAATTACTAAATTGATGCAGACGCGCGGCTGCCGCGCCACTGCACCTACAATCCTCTAATGTGGAAAGGACCTCTCGCCTTTGCTTATACCTTTTACTTGTACACTTATAAGTGCAGGGAAGTATATGTTTAGTAATAAGTTAAATGTATTTTTATTGTATAATTTGTGTAAGACTGTTTGTTCCTCAATAATAAGAAAAATAATTGTGATAACCGTAACATTATTGCGAGGAATAAAATTAATAATTAACAAAGTCACAAATTAATTAATGTGGCAATGGATGCACTTTATAATAAGATTCCAGTTGAAATTTAGAATTTTCCACATATGAGGTTTAACACAGTACACAACTAATTTAGTAAACAAAGTAGAAAACTTTTTAATCTGTGAACTCTTATTGAAATTGTATATGATTTAACTTGACTTTAATACACTAAACGTCAATTCTGTATCTTATTTGTTTCAGAATTTTTCCAGAACATTCTGAAACTTCAAGAATATTCTAGAAGATGCCATGACTATATTTAATCACAGCCAAACAGGCTCCTGTTTGATATTGCTATATTATTAAGCAAAAGCCGGTGATGTAGTATTTCTGTGTAGAAAATTTGGCTATTAAAGACAAAGAAGAAGAATATGTCAAGATCACAGGAATAATAAGGACCGACAATTATGACTAAGACAGATTTTACTGATTTAAATTTTAACCAAGTCCTTGTATATTCCTAAAATCTTTTGTTAAGAAGATTCCAGGTCTATATCCACATTGACTTATAATGGTGGCACTTCACATGGTCATTTGTATTTCGGTATATGATTTATTTGGCAAACAATCACCGTGTGTAGATAGCGTGTGTGACAAAGTATTTGCCTTGTTTGTCTATTTGGCAAATATAACAAACTCTAGCGCACATCAAAGGAGCCAAATAAGCAAATACGCAGTAAACCTATGGTCATACTATGATCATATTCATTATTTTTACTCCTTTGGCTCCATGTATAGACGGTCATATTTGTCAGTGTCTCTATTTTTCGGGGTATGCGCCCTATTTGACTCATGATAAGAGTGGTTGAGTTAAGAAGTGAAAACAATGGTCACTTAAAGGTGAATCTCAAGCCAGATTGTAATAATTTCTTGTTTTACTCTCAACCATGCACAACCATGCGGGGCCGTTTCGCTAGTATATAGTAGATCCTTGTCCCAACAGGCTTCCATGTTACGTTGCTTCTATTCCGTGAATTCAGAGTCTGCGATAGCTAGTGATACAGACTTTCTGTGTAATAAATCCGAATCGTCTTTCACCATACGAAAACTAATATTATAATGTGTAAGTGACTGTTACGTTTTCACACCTAAACCGCTGCACCAATTTTGATGAATTTCGGTATAGAGGTAGATGGGAGCTAGGAGAAGAACGTAGGTTTAAAGATATAGACATAGGCCACTTTTTGCCACAGTAGTAAATCTTAAAGTAGGGGAAATATGGTATGATGATTTGTATGGAGATCCAATAAAACTGAAATTTAGTATAGTACAGTAGGTATATACTCAAAGCAAAGTCGCGGGATCTAGTCCAACATATAACCACACTTTAGTAATTATGGATTACCTCAGCAACTTTGAACTGTGTTAGTCTATGTTTGCGAGGCAAGCTCTTTTTGGAATCGAGTTCTCGAGCCCAGAAGAGTCTTTTTTAAATCTCACTCTCCAATAAAGAGTTATAAACTGGAATCTGTTTTAGCTATAAACCTCAATAAATAACGAATCCTCCAAGTCTTAGGATCGTATTCCAGAACTCTACTCAATATTCAAGTCAGGACTTGAGTATTGCAGTGAGCACTGAAAATCATACTCAAGTCTGCTCAAATCCTGACTTGAGCATTGAGTAAAGTTCCGAAATACGACCCTTAGAGGCCCTGATTGGAATGCTTATAATGTCTGTTGCGAGAAACCATAATACTACAGATATCAGGAAACTTAAAATCAGCGGTGACTTAATAATAATATCTTTTTCTCGTGTCGGCCACGACAACAATTCGATGGTTTTCTCGAACATTGGCCTATCTCAAAAGCGTCTAATTCATCACAGAGATTGCTTAAAACAGCAATCTACCGGTCCAAGTTGATCTAACCAATGAAAAGCTTGGAATCCCAGTCACAATAGAATTTAACAATTTTTGAATAAAACTCAGTAGTAAGTAGAAAAATGGTTAATTTTGGATTGAGCCACTGTTCTTGAAAAGCAGTGAGTTGCTTCGAATTTGCTAAACCTAGCCGATTGACATGTGACATGAAGACAATCTGATTTCAAAGAAAGACGTCGCAATAAAAACACCCTTTTTTCCCAACATGTTTTGCAACATGCTATTCTTTATAAGTGCAGGTGGGTAACTAGGTAAGTTTCCAGGTTGATAACATCGTCGTGACACAAATAACAACATTGGGAGAAGGATATCCCGTGAAGAACATCGTAGAATCAGAACATGTGTTGTTGAAGGATGAAAACTGGTGCACGCTAACGAATACTCGCCTTACTGAAAATCTTTTTGTTCTCGTCACGTCGTGCCAAGTTGTAAACAAGATATCTGCCTACGTTGCGAAGAGTGAGCGATTGGTTCAAGACTTATGAGGCACAAACTTTCAGAGAGACCATATGAGCGTCGATAATCATATAGTACTCTACACTTATATGGTTTCTCTCTAGAATAGAATGGCCCATGCTTTCATCACGTTGTGCCGGAAAAATTGAAGATTGTCAAGAGGTACAAAACTATTCAAGATTTATTAGAGAGATGGTTATGTTGTCGTAATCTAAGACTGCAAGATGTATCCTTTAATATTTGTTATTTAGGCTGGGGAAGCAGTTAAGTTAATTTTCAAACTAGACGTTAAGTTGCGGGCACCAGCCATACTACACCATATTGTTGCATTTTAGTTCTTTAAGTTTTCTTAGATTTTTTTTTGTTTTTTTTTTAGGTCTTTTTTGTTACTGTGTATGTGTATGTGATTGACTTTGTATTATGGCTGACCGGCCAGTGGATTCTTGTTTTTTTTCCTTTAGTTAATTGTCGCTTGTGAAATAAATGGCTAGACTGGTCTATTAAAGAAA